TGCTTTTACTCTGTGCTGTTTACTCTGCTGGTCCTGCTCCCAGGAAGTGGGGTCAATTCCTTTGTCTCTCTTTCCCATTCCCCCCTCCCCCCTGCCATGCAAGGCCATCCCACACACTCCCCTACTGCCCGAACAACCCCTGGTGTCCACTCTCGCTTCTGTTCTGGGGACCTGAGGTCTTGATCGTTAGCACATACTGAAAGGCAAACCTGAGTGAGGGAATTAGCAAATGAAAAGAAACTCTTGAATCCAACAGAGGAAAAAGGTGGGCAGAAGACACAAGGTGGGCAGAAGACGAACAGGTGTGACAGGTATCAGGTGTGAACTTCCACGTCCACCCACCCTCTGCGCTCCTTCTCCAATTTCTTGGTCCAGGTGTGTGGTATAGGACTTGAGCTTAAATGTATTCAATAGAAAAAATGTCTTTGTTCTGAGATGGTGGCCTTCCTACTTTTTGGTATTAAAATGTCATGTTTTTTCATAAATGAAGGTCATAATAAGTGATAATTTAAAAAAAACTGCACAGTTAGCAAAATAAGATTTCAGCAACCTCACGTTAGTGAAAAATGTTTTTAGGAATATTTAATGTGAAATCCCCAAATCTGAGAAGCACTGATCTAGAACCTTGGCCACCCCAGACGGCTCGACCAGAGCAGGTTCACGTTCAGGTCCCTGGCGCGGCGCCCGCAGGGCACCCCGCGGCCCCCCCCCCCCCCACGCCCCGGCAGCCGTTCAGGACCGGCCACGGAGACCACTCTTTCTGACACAGTGGAGTCCAAGATGAAGTAATTCTTACCTTCTGTTGGTGGCCTTATTATACCACAGACACTGATGAGAAAAATTCAACATGCATTTTGACAGCCACATACCAATGGCTGCATGTGCCATTTTTGAGCGTTACAAATACAAAACAGCTGAAATACAATTCTCTCTAAGAACCTGTTTTTAATTAGTTCTGGAGCCGTGGTGCTGCTTTTTGTTTTGGTTTCATTAAATTACATTGGACAAGTACGCATTCGGGTACCAACCGGACAAGCGCAGCACCGGGAGCTGTGGGAAGACGGAGGGTGGGCCGGACCAGGCCGCTGCCTCCGCAGAAGCTGTAGGCCCTCGGGAGAAAAGACAAGGAAACGACTGATAATCGGGACATGACTCAGTCCCTGGGGCCGGGGGCAGGGAGAAAGGTGACAGTTCGGAGGAGGCAGAGGTCACAGGTGACAGGGACCTGGAAAAACATTCTGAGGGAGGTGGCCTTTAGACGGACCAGACTGGGCGGGCAACTGGGGACAGCGACTGCGACTGTGTGACCACCATGGCGTCCCTAGGGACGGGCACCCAGTAAGTGCTCAGTACGTGTTTGAGGAATAATTAAATAAGTACTAATGGCAGTGCACGTGCCAGTTAAAGCAGTTTCTAAGCACAATGCTTCTGTTAGGCTGAAAGCATTTGTGGAAAGCTCTTAGTTAAAGCAAGCTTTACGTGTGTTGAGAGATGCTTTCCCACATTTTAATTCAGTGGCTGCAGTACTTACTTTTAAGCACAAGAGGGAGCTGCTGCTCAGTTTATTTAACCGAAATAGTATTTCTTTAGGTTTGCTCATTTCCTCCCAAATTAAGTGTAGTATATTGAGCCCTTTAACCATCTTACCACCCCCCCAATAACCCACCAACCAAAAAACTCTATTATGATACAGTAAAATTATTTAAAAAATCTTTTTATGTTTACTGATTTTAGAGAGAGAAGGGGGAAAGAGGAGAGAGACAGACAGACGGACATCTGTTTGTTTTTCCACTTACTGATGCGTTCATTGGTTGCTTCTTGTGTGTGCCCTGACCAAAGATCAAACCCTCCACCTTGCTGCATCAGGACTATGCTCTAACCACCTGAGCTACCCAGCCAGAGCAAGAAAATTACTGTTGGTGGTGCACTATTTTCTAAAAGGAATTTCTCCTAAGTTACACGATTAGCAGGGGGGAGAGGTAACATTTAAAGTGTTTTATAAATGGATCTCCTAGACCAGGCAGGTGAGTTCTTCAGAGCCCTGGGTAGACTCAGCAGTTCCCGGTGACGGAAGCCCTGCGTGTGAAAGTGCGTCAGAGCCTCACCTGCGGGCAGCGGATCTGCGATAACAGCCTTTTCTAACTGCCTAAGGTCTCTCGAGGGGCAGAGTCTGGCTGAGATGCTGGCCGAGTCCTTCGGGCTTAGGGCCTCCAATTTCTTTTCCAAAGTGCTGCAAATCATGAACTATGAAGGAGCTGGAATTTGGGTGTGTCTTAAATAAAAACACCGAACTTAGAGGAAAGTTAGCAAGGAATTAAATGATTTTAAGGGATTTCTTGCTTTACAAAAGGATTCTCCCAGATTTCTCCTCATAGCAAGCTCCCAAGTAACTACATTTTTTAAAAAACTTGAGTTACCGAGATGAAATCCATTCACCATTTCTATTCAATAAAGTGTAAGATAATTGAAATGTGGGAGGTGGTATTATTAAGGTAAACAGTGATCAGTGTGCTTTCTGCTGACTGATAATAAAAGAGCTTAAAGTGAAAGAACATTTGCCTAATTCATGACCAGATTCAACCTATGTTAGGAATCTAGCCCTGGCTAGTGTGGCTCAGTGGGTTGAGTGTCAGCCTGTGAACCACAGGGTCTTAGGTTCTGTTCCCAGCCAGGGCACATGCCTGGGTTGTGGACCAGGTCCCCAGTAGGGGGCGTGCGAGAGGCAACCACACATTGATGTTTCTCTGCCTCTTTTTCTCCCTCCCTTCCCTTCTCTGTACAGATAAATAAATAAATAAATAATCTTTAACACAATTAAAAAAACAGAATCTAAATTTTATCTTAAAGAGAGAGAACAGTCCCCTTGGTCCTCCCAGAACTATTGCATTATGATTCTTTTTGTAACGTTAAGTCCCAGCTCTGCGCCATCACCAGGGGCCAGACGGTCCCACGTCTGACGGCCCGTGTCTGGCCATTGCCCCCACCTGTGCTGTTGGTTCACTCTGCTCACTTTTGGAGGGTGACCGCCAGGCCTTCTGGGGTTTTGAGTCACCTGCATAGCCTAGCCTAGGGTCAGCAGCGGACAGCTCTTTCACAGTTAAAAAAGTAATAGCCAAGGGTGACTGATAAACACGGAGGGGAAGCAGGTTCTTAATGCTTAAGGATTATGTGTTTACATGGTTTTGGCTGCTTGGTTGTTCAATCCTAATGCTCTGGTCAAGAGGGAGCAGGAGCGGCAAGGGGCATGGACTGAGGGAGTCTTGGGTTCAGATCCCATCTCTGCCACTTGCAGCCGCGGGTCCTGGGCAAGATTCTTGCCTTTCCGCTCCTCAGTTTCTTCATCAGTAACAGGATGATGATGCTGATGAAACTCGCCATACTGGATTTATTATTTATAAAGTACTCAAGATGGTGTCTGACATATAATAAATACTTTTAGTGAATCCGAAGTAGAATAATTATATTTAGTGTGACCCAGTCAAAAGATACTTTGATTCATCGAAAACTAAATAAGTTAACAGAAATATAACTGAGATGGGCCAATGGAAATGCAGTGGAATTACACAGTACTGGTGGCACGCTGCCTCGAGAGTGTGCTAAGAACCACTTTCATATGGTGAATTTTGTGGTATGCGAATGTCTTCATATAATGTACAGAGAAAAATCCAACACATATTTGCGGACACAGTAGGTAAGCAACCCTCTCCTGGGTTTAGTGGAGGATAGAAAGCGGTTCAGGACATGGTCTTTGGCTTAAGGGGCCTCTGCAGAGTGTCCCCCCCCCCCCCCCCCCCCCCCCCCCAGTGCCCTGGAGAAGCATTCACTGTCCACATTTTTTTACTCTGAGACCCAGCAGGGCTAAGTAATTTGCCCAGGGTCCCACTCGGAAGTATGGGTAGCAAGACCCCAGCTTCCTGTGCCAGGTAGGGACAATCTCATTGAAGACAGAAATTGACATCCATAGAGTAATTAATGAAGCAGACATCACAGGGGCTCATCGGGTCCCACGTGCGTGATAAGGAACATTTTACACGGCCCGGTGCGGGCAGCCAGCGGTGGGGTACTGACACGCAGGGCGGTTGTGCTGGGAGAAGCTGTCCTTAGAGATGGCTGGGAGGTGCTCGCAGACTTGCCTGGCCTAGAATTACGCACATTCTCAGGCTGTGAAGCCTATGGTGACCTGTGAAGAAGCACAGATGTATAGGAAATGGCCCGACACAGCTGAGGCCATTTGTTTTCTTTCACCAGTCACACCAATCCGATGTTCATTAGAGAATGAGGATGCAAGACAATCTGCATTGCTTACCATCCATTCACTTATCTCTTAACACATTCAACACATTTTCGAGCATTTGCCTGACCTGAGGATATAAACATAAATAAAATACAACCTTTGTTCTCCGGGCAGACCCTAAGCTGGGAATTGGAGTCAGGCACACAGGAGACGACTGCGAAGAGACACTCGGTGTGCGGCACAAGGCTACGGGAAGGAGCCCGGAAACGGGCTTAAAACTCTGTGCTTGGTTGATGTTCTTAAAATGCAGATTGTTCACGAGGTTTATTTTTCTGGCTAAAAGAAAAAAGAAGAAAGCTTCTACACAGAGCACCTCAGCAGGGCCTCCCTGGCAGATAAGGAGGGGAGAGAAACCGGGGGAAGGGGTGCCCCAAGGCCCGGGAAGGGACAGGGAGCCCCTCTGCCCACTGCGCCCTCTCACGGTGGCCCCCTGGTGGTGGGTGGGCGCTCTCCAGGAAGTGGTTGAATTTGAAGTGGGGCCATTTCCCTGTCCTCTGCGTCCAGGCTGACCGTCTGAGGGACAGCCCACTGGGACTCGGCTCTAGGAGGCAGCGAGAGCCCTCACGGGTGTTTGTGGGGCAGAGGGGACTACTCTTCAAGAGGGAACTATTTTCGCTCAGTGCCCCATTTTCAACCGTCCTCACCCAGGGACCATTTTTAAGGATAAGCAAGGAACAGTTTGAGATTTTTAAAACACAACGCTTTTTATTGCGGTAAATATTCATGGCACAAATTTTATCACGGTAACTGTCCTTTAGTGTACAATTCCATGGCCGTAACCACATCCACGAAGTTGTGTGACCATCAGCACCACCCACTTCCAGAACTTTCTCAGCATCCCAAACCGAAACTCTGCCCATCCAGCAATAACTTGCCCCTTCTTCTGCGCCCCGGTAATCACCACTCTACTTTCTACCCCAATGAGTTTGCCTGTGCTAGGCACCTCTGCAAATGGAGTTGTACAGTGTCTGTCCTTTTGTGTCTGGCTCACTGCATTTAGTAGGTTTTCAAGGTTGATCACAGTATGTGTCAGAATTTCATTCTTCTTTAAGGCCATTCCACTGCATGTGTGTACTGTGTTTTGCTCATCCACGGAAGGACACTCGAGTCGTTACCACCTTTTCACATGCTGCGGCAACACTGGCCACAAGTATCTGTTCAAGTCCCTGCTTTCAAATCTTCTGGAAGTGGAATTGCTGCGTCATATGATACATCTGGTTTCTTGAGGAACCACCAGACTGTTTTCTCTTTAGTTTAAGATGGAGGCACTCAGTCTTACCATGGCTGCCTGAGAAGGGTCCCCATGGAGAATAGGCTGAGACCCCCTGGGTTCTGTCAGGCCACCCGGCTGGGCAATTTCCCTGATACGGGCAGATGTGTTCTGCCGCTGAGCCCAGGGCTGCACAGATGCTAGTTCTGGGTGAATTACATTGTGGCTAGAAGGTTGCTATGGAGAAAAATAGGCGGGAAGTGTAACTGGGAAAGCAGAAAGATGCTCTGGAGACACTGACCAGTTACAGAATGGCCTAGGTTGGGCCAGGGTGGCCAAGAAAGCAAGGGGCAGATGCACTGACTCAGCCCAGAGCTGCTTGGAACCCAGATTCAGTCTAGGTTCAAATCCCACTTTTCTTTGATAGTTTAGGCAGTGAACTTAACCCCCCTCCAGTTCAGTTTTCTTATTTGTAGGACAGTTGTGAGGATGAAATAAATTGTGTACGTGAGACAATACCCTCGGGGCCTGGACCTTCCAGCCCATACAGCTTAGGACCTACTTTCCCTCAAACCCAGAGCACCAAACTCAGGTGCTGTGTTAGACTGGGAAATATGCCCCTCACCTCCCAGTCCTAGACACGTACTTTAAAGCACGGGGCTTGGTGCAATGTGCATTTCAGGGCCCATTCTAGAATTTACCTATTGCCTTTCTACTGCCTCTTTTCTCTCCAGATCAAATGCTTTGTCTTTTGGGGACTGGTAAGTGGGGCTTTCCCAGTAGGCACAAAACTAGCTTTTAAGCAAAGGATACATACTTTGCTTTAAAAAAAAAAGTAGAAAAACAAACCAACAGAAAACCTCAGCTGTTCTGGACAAAACTCTCCCAGAGGCCACTGGCAGTGAACATTCTTGCAGTGACCCCGTCCCCTTTATCGAGCAGGGTTCACTCTACAGGCTGACCCAGCCCGAAGGGAGAAGCAACGGGAAAACATTTTGAGGCTGCAACCTCATGGAAGTGTAAATTATTACCATTAATTGCAAATAAAGAAAATGCTTGATAAGTGAGCTGATACCCAAGTGGACAAGTCTTCCTGTTTGCCCCGCCTCTCTCTCTGCCCGGTGCTGGGCAGAGCCAGGCTCGGCTGAGTGCTCTGCTCATCCTTGCTGATTTAATTCAATGAGCCGACCTGCAAACACGGCCAGGGTTCCGATGATACAGACAAGCATGAAGACTCCAAGGAGAATGTGGTCCATCACCATTGCAACATACTTCCATTCCTCGGCCGCCTGGGGGAGAAGGAAGTGTGAGAATTTGCTTGCAGTGGTCCTTAGGCTCACAGTGTTGTCTATGCATCTTCTACAGCCCACTTATTATAGATCTCAGAGCCCTCAACATCCTTCGGCTGGCACTATGCTTTTTATTTTAAATTTATTTATTTATTTATTTTTAGAGAGAGGGGAAGGGAGGGAGAAAGAAAGGAAGAGGAACATAAGTGTGTGGTTGCCTTGTCCATGCCCCCAGCTGGGGACCTGGCCCACAACCCTGTGCCCTGAGTGGGAGATGAACTGGTAACCCTTTGGTTCAGTTTGGCACTCAATCCACTGAGCCACACCAGCCAGGGCAAGATCTCTATTCTTTGAATAGAACATTCACAATGATGACTTAGCAAGGTGTCCTAGAGGCAGGTACCAAGGCTTATCTTCAGTCAAGTGCTGTCTCTAAAACCCCAACCCACCCATCAAGCCAAACCCATCCATCTGTGCTTGAGCATTTGGTTATTTAAACCCAAAGGCGTGGGTTTCATGTCACAAAGCTTACATTGTTGGACTCCTGGTCCGACTTCATGGTCTCCGCGATGTATTTGACGCCCTCGATGGCACTTTTCACCTCGGGGTGTTTGATCAGGGGAGAGTGGAAGCCCATCGGGGGAGGCCCCGGTTTCCCAGAAATGTCAGAAATATCAATGTCTTCTGTAAAAATCTTTTTGTCTTGTTTTTCTTTGGATGGTCTTTTCATTGTGGAGAAGAACATGATATTTGGGATGGTGTCAATAAAAACCTAACATAAGAAAGAAATCCATTGATGAGAATAATTGCTAGCAGGGCAAGCATCAAACTCTGAATTAGCAATGTAACTTTAGACAAGCGGTTCAGCTTCTCTGCCTCAGCCTCTTGGTCCTGAAAACGAAAGGACTACACTTCCTCAAAGATTCCTTCATGCCTAGCAGCCTGTGGCCTGTCAAGTTACTGTGAACAGTGATGATTCTGTCATGTGAGCCTTTCGCCATTGGAGGGAGCCTGTGCGCAGCTCTCGAACTCAAGAAACCAGGGGTGCTCATAAGAAACCAGTGATGCCTGCCTAGCTTGGGAACCCCTACAGGTACCTGCTTCTTTCAAGGCCATGTGCTCTCATGGTCACATGGTTAAGGAAAGGGTCCCTCGAGCTAAAATATATGTAAGGTTCTGGCCCCACAAAACAGCTAGACTATTTTCTTTCATTTCTTGTTGCTGAAAAAAATGCAACATAGGTATTGCCAGGAGTCACTTACCAGTCTTAATAGAAACAGGACTGTTTCTTCTTCAAAAAATGCATTGTGAGCAGTAGTTTCTCTGTCAATTCATGAAAAATCTTTTGAATTTTACACAAAAGACCTTAGCTATTTGTGTGTGAAATTTTATTTTTAAAAAACCTGACATATTTGAAATTTAACATATTTTAAATTTCGAAAATGTAGATACTTGAAACCGAGATCCCCATGAAAACCCACTCTTTGACATCCTCTCAAGCCTCTCCTCCATTTCTAGCACTTATTCTATGCAGGTTACTGCACCAGCGAAAATCAAGCAACCTGTTCACAGGCCAGAAGACATTCCAGCAGAAATCTCAAGAATTTTGCAGCATTTCAATAAAAAAGACAGTTATTTGTATCTTCTCTAATCAAAGAGATTTTTAAAGCTTCAATTAGAGGTGAGCTTTGTTAATTCTGTTTTTCTTCTCTCTCTGAGGAAGCTCTCTAGAGATAAGTTCTTTATCTCTAGAAAGGGGCCCCCAAAATTGCCTTCATAGAGGGTAGGTAGAAGATAGACAGGGGGAGGGTAAGAATAGTATGGGAAATGTAGAAGCTAAAGAACTTATAAGTATGATACATGGACATGAGCTAAAGGTGGGGGAATGTGGGTGGGAGAGGGTGTGCAGGGTGGAGGGGAATGAGACAACTGTAATAGCATAATCAATAAAATGTATTTTTAAAAGAGAAAAATTTCCTCCCCAAACCCCCTAGAGCCCAGAGCAGACTCTCAGTTCCGAGTACCACAGTGGTTAGCCAGAATTCTGCGGACCACGGCGGGTGGGGCAGGGAGCCCGCAGAGTCCCCCGGGGAACGGCTGCCCTGTGCAGAGTTGGCAGGGACCTCGCTCACTCACCTTCCGAACCCAGTCCGGCATGACGTGGGTGCTGGGGGAACGGTGGTGTGTGTTGATGACGATGACAGTGATGATGATGGAGGCAATGACAAAGACCATGGTGAAGAGCATGTATTTCCCAATCAAAGGCACGGCGCTGGAGGTGGAGGGGATCAGCTCCACGATGACCAGAAGGAACACGGTTAAAGACAGCAGGACGGAGATGCTCAGAGTCATCTTCTCTCCTGGGCAAAATGAGCAAGAAACACGACAGCCCACCTGTCATGGCCCGAACGGTTGCTCCCGTCCAATTTATGCATCGAAGTCCCAAGCCTCCACCCCTCAGTGACTGTATTTGGAGATATGGCCTTCAAAGGGGTAACTAAAATGAGGTCTCAGGGTGGGCCCTCATCCAATGTGACTGGTGTACTTATAAGAAGAGGAGATTAGAACACAGATATGCACAGGGAGGGAAGACCACGTGAGGACACAAGGAGAAGACCGGCACCTGTAAGCCAAGGAGAGGGACACTCCAGAGGAAACCGACCCTGCCGTGACCTCGATCTCGGATCTCAGGTTCCAGAACTGTGAGATGATGAATTTCTCTTTTCTCAAGCTACGCAGTCTATGTCCTTTGCTATGGCTGCCCTCACAGACCAAACCCCAGGTGAGAAGAATGTGGCAGGCACTTCTCAAAACAGCATTCTGGGGAAATTGGCTGGGTAGAATTTCCTGTGGGACCTTGGCACCTTAAGTCTGCTGACTGCGGCAGGTTCATTAGGGGCCGCCAAGCAGGAAATGACTACTTCATCTGATGCCCCAGAGGTCTATTTCTTTTTTTTTTTAAATAAAAAAAAATAGCCCTGGCTGGTGTGGCTCAGTGGATGGAGCACTGGCCTGTGAACCAAAAGGTTGCTGGTTTGGTTCCCCATCAGGACACATGCTGGGTCGCAGGCCAAGGTCCTCAGCTGTGGGCACGTGAGAGGCAACCAGTCAGCGTTTCTCTCGCATGTTGGTATTTTTCTCTCTCTCTTAAGAAAATTTTAGAAATGTTTATTGATTTTAGAAAGAAAGGGGGAGAGAAACAGAGAGAAAGAAACATTGACTGGTTGCCTCTCTTACATGTCCCGACCAGGGACCCACAACCCACAACCCTTCAGTGTACGGGATGACGCTCCAACCAACTGCGCCACGCTGACCAGGGCCAGAATTCTGTTTCTTGGTGGGGCCCAGAGAACCAAGTTACACAAGCTGGGGGGCATGCTAGACCCCAGGTGGCAGATTTTCCATCTGCAGCAAAATGTCATAATAAACCTGACAAGACTGAACCAAAGCCTGGCCTCCTCGTGACCCTGTAGGTGGGTGGGCAGTCCAGAGGTGCAGGTACGATTTTCCCATTATGGGAGCAGGCCGTAGGACCCAAAGGGAGACAGTGAAGTCAACGATTTCACATCACTTACATTCCTCCAAAGAGGATAGTTTGGTTTTGGATCTGTTTTTCATAATAAGGAACTAGGGAGTCCCCTGTCCCCCCTTTTCTCCTGATCCTACAACTGCAGGATCAACAATTCTGGTTGGAGTCTTGGTCAGGCAAGTGTGGCAAATGAGAAGGGCAGGGACTGATCGGCGGTGAGATGTTCCTGTGGTTTCTGACCCCCTCGGAGGCAGAAGAGAGCCCTCGGTGGGGGCTCCCCTTGGCTGGTCTTGCTGACTGTGTCCCGGGAAGCCCCGTGTCTCCCTGCTCTCCAGCGGGGAGCTCTGCCCCTGTGCTGGATGCTTCCGGATGCCAGGAGTACAGAGCAGGACAGAGAGGAAGCGCAGACAAGAAATCTCTAGTTCTACCTACTGAGGAAAAAAGCCTTTAAAAGTGAAAATAAAGGCAAAATTATAAATATGGACTATTGGTCAAGATACATCACATTTCTTGAGTCGTAATAGCAATGATAGTAGTCGCTAACATTCATGAAGCAGTCTCACTGTTCTAAATACTTCCCAAGCATAAACCACTCAACAGTTTTAGAAACTGGGATTCATTTCCATATCGCCCTGACTAGGGTTTTCTCCCTTCCCTTTAAGGTGCTCCATTTGATTAGGAAGCTGAAAAAATACTCGTGTGTGATCATTTGTTTAGAAACAAAGCAATCGCCAGAAGCGACTTCCCGCAGGGGCGGCCCCTGCCCTGTTTCTACGTGTTCCTGCCACGCAGCGGCTCTTCAGGATGCACTGTCCGAGGACTTAGAGTTTTGTGAGTTTTTCTCACGACCTTGATAAACCTGTGACCTGTCGTAACTCTGAGAACCGTCTGCACCTTCTCTGTGTTGTCCCCATACGCCAGCCCCATGCCGTTTACAGGCAGTGGTTTGCTGGTGGCGTGCTGCCCCCTCCCTGTTTTCTGTGCATGGTTGTCGTTGGTGAGATTATGTCACAGATGTGATGCCTCAGTAGGAGGCACGGACATTGTTTGGGCTGATTTGTGACAAAGCGCTGCCACTCGGGAAGTGGGGTCTTGTGTGTAAAGATGCCGCCATCTGGAAGACAGACAGGCAGAAGCTACTTTCAAACGGCCAGTGGTGAACAAAACAGGCAAGACCTGGGTCAGTCAGTAGACGGCAGTGACTGCCCCGTGGAGGGGGCGTGAGGAGTGTCTGTGATCAGCACACTTCGGGCACACAGTAGGTGTTCAACAGATAGGCAGGGGTGGCTGTTCACTTCAACTAGACTGAGCTGTACACGTGCATCTTCCGGGTCACACTCAGCGCGGCCTGCTCTGCAGTCTGCTCCAGCTGTGAGCGCCACCGTGGTGGCTTTCACCACTGGACGCGGCCCCTTGGTGGATGTGTCCTCCCAGTGATGAGGATTTCTGTCTGTCTGCCTGTACTTGCTGATTAGCCTATAATTATTTCTGGCTTTCCCAAAAATAGCAGCACAAGCTCCGTTAGCATCAGCAGTCGCAGCCATGGCAACTGCACCCACCTGAGTCTGTGGGCAGGTAGAACACCAGGCCGGTTAAGAAGGAGAAGAGCAGGCAAGGAATGATGACATTGACGATGAAGTAGAGGGGCAGGCGCTGCATGACGAAGTGGTAGGTGATGTCCAGATAGGGGGTGGAGGGGCAGCAGGCGTAGAACACCCAGTGCTTCCAGCCGCGGGCCTCCTTGATCACCCATTCCCCGCTCTCCATGAAGTTGCTCAGGTCTGGCTGGTCGCTTTCCTGAGAAGATGACATGAAACTTTCAAAACCCAGCCATGTCACCCTGAGGAGGGGCAGGGTTTCATACTCATCTGTGACAAGGCAACAGATTCCAGTGCTGTTACACACCCAGGTGGGACCCTGGGTCACTGCCACCTTGGCATCTCAGGTTACTTTCCTATCAAATGAGGGGGTATGAACTCTTGGGGTTCAAGCTACCTTAGGAGCTTTAGAATATATTGGTGCCCTGGCCCTGGCTGGTGTGGCTCAGTGGATTGAGCACCAGCCTGCGAAGGATTGCTGGTTCAATTCCTAGTCAGGGCACATGCCTGGGTTGTGGGCCAGGTCCCCAGTAGGGGGCGTGCAAGAGTCAACCACACATCAGTGTTTCTCTCCCTCTCTTTCTCCTTCCCCTCCCCTCTGTCTAAAAGTAAATAAATAAAATCTTAAAAACAAAACAGAGCAAAACATATTGGCCTCACCCCAAACTGATTAAATCCACCCTCCAGGGTTGCAGACTGAACCCTGCTTTTCCCGAATCCACCCTCATTGCACGGGGTCCCCGCCTACCGGGTTGATGGCCACCACAGAGCCATCATAGGTCCAGGTGCCCAGCTTCATGCTGCAGTTCTGCTCGTCGAAGGGAAAGTGGGTGACGATGATCTCACAGTAGCTTTTAAAGATGGCCGGAGGTGTCCACGTGATGTTGCCGGTGTAGTCCAGCAGCACTTTGGTGAACTTGACAATGGCAAAGTCACCATCTGCACTACAATGGGACCACAGAGGAGACCGGTGTTAATTCCCAGGTGCTAATTACAGCTTTGTCTCAGGCGGTGCCGCTTCCTACCTGTGTCAGGGTTTCCCGAATTTGTCTGATGATAAGAATCACTGGGTGTCTGTTAATACAGAGATTCCTGTAAGCACTGAATCGCATCACCTGGGGAGGACACTGGGAATCTTCTGTCTTAAAGGAATAACAGGGAACACTGACCCATCGCATCCAAGCCTTTTTCTTCCCAGTGCTCAGTAGTATTTGCCATAATCTCCAGATTATTAGATTTTTCCTCAAAAGCTAAAATTCCCCATTTTTAACTCCAAAGTTCCCATATTTTCAAATGTAGGAGTTCCCCAGGTTTTGATGTAATATTTCCAAATTTTCAAATGTTGGCAGTAATTTCTTGTTAAAAAATATCTGCCATGGTAGATATTAAAAATCAGAAAAGGCCATTTCTACAGTGCGGGTCATATTCAGTGTGCAGTCCTCATCCTGTAAACAGCCTCTGTCCCAGGCCGTGGCCCAGGGCCGGGCCCAGGTGTTGGGCAGGGCGTGGGGTCATCTCAAGGGGCATTCAGGGACATGCGGCATCTCCTGCCGCTCCCTTCGGAAGTCAAGAGGTTTTCGTCCCATTGAATTTCCCTGCGGATGGGGCTCTACCCAGAACACTCGCACTGTGGGGCCCTGGCCCCACCAGGGTGCTCCTGAACAAGCTTGTTAGAAGGAGCAGAGGAGTTCACGGCTTCCCTCACGTTCTTATTGGAAGAGAAACTTGACTAACACAGGACACTTTGCCCTATTGGCATAAGTGTCTGAAAAGTTCACAGAAATGATTGGATCATTTGACTCAAGCTTGAATCCCTGTTATGATGGGAAAATATGTGGGTGGAAAATCGAAGGAGGGGTGGTTGGCCATAAAGGGTGTCCTTTCCACTCGCTGGCCGCTGCCACCCTCCCTTGTAAGTCTGCTGCCTGGCACCGCCCGCTCACCCCGCACACGAGCTGCAGCGCGGCAGGCACGAGCCCTCTAGGCCAGTGCTAAATGCTTCTGCCTGGGAAGGGGGTGCTTTGCGATGCACAGGCCCTGACAAATGAAGGATGTATGGTAATGAACATGTCATTAGAGCAGAGTGTCTAGAATCACATTATAGTTTCGTGACATGCAGGCTGTCACGGAGCCCCTGGGTGGGCTACACGGGTGTCCTGGGCCGTCAGCAGTACGGCTGCCATGAGGGTGTGATGAATCTCGACCCCGGGGGGCTCAGACCTACTGGCAGGAAGGACATTTAGTTCCAAGGCGCTCAATCATAGCAAGTTTGGGTTCCTTGGACAGTTGCCATACACCCTTCAGGAGCTCCCAGGGATTAAATGTCCTCCACCCACAGCCCTGATTCAATTTGGCTCTGATAATTGTTCCTCCTCGGAACATGAAACACCATATGGCGCCCTAGCAGGGCGGCTTGGCTCTGGGTTTTTGAAGCATACTGACGGGGTGGTCCTTCTGTGAGGGCACTGGGCTCCCCAGGAAAGGCCCCCCCCCCCCGGCTGTGTTGCTTACTTGTTATAGAGCACAATGTCCGGGCGCCAGATCTTTTCGGAGGGAATGTGAATTCTCTTCACGCCGCCATAGTCGTCTGGATTCCATTTTAGGTTGTAATCTACCCATTGCTAGAAATGAAGATGCTTGGCTGATTAGAAAGCTCAAAGCATTTTAAAAACAGTGCAGGGTTATCAAGAGCTCTGGTGGGCGTGATACTTTAGACCAGCAACAGAAATTGTGCTACCGTAAGAATGGCTGGAAGGGTTCAGCTTTCACATTAGTTAGCAATGCCAGCCGACACTTGTGCTGATTGGCTACGTGCGGGCGCTGTTGTAAGCGTTTTCCCGTTATTGATCATTTCATTCTCACAACAACCGTGTGAGGTCAGAGTGGTCACTCGCCCCATTTTACAGATGGGGAAATAAAGGTGCCTCCAAGCAGTGCCCCTGGGCGGTGGCAGGTGTATCACACCCCAGTGCCCCACCAGGAAGGAGACTGTCCCTGTTGTGAACAGCTTTCCTGAAGTAGGCAACATCAGTTTTAAAAAGTATATTTTTTCTACATTATAAAAGTAATATATGCCCAATGCAGCATAACCATAAATATACAATGTTATGGATTGAATTTTGTCTCCCCCAAATTCCTATGTTGAAGCCCTAACCCCTAGTACCTCAGAATAGGACCTTATTAGGAGATAGGTTATTAAGTTAAAGTAGGTTCAGTAAGGTGGGCCCCAACCCAGTGAGTTAGTTACAAGAAGGGGCCATTTCCGGCAGAGGCACGAGCAGGAAGAACGCGTGAGAACACGAACACAGCCAACTACCCGCAAAGCAGAGAGGCCTGGGCAGACCGTCCCTCACGGCCCTCCGAAGAAACCCCTTCTACTGACACCTTGACTTTGGACTGTGGCTTCAACAACTGTGAGCAACAACTCTCTGTGGTTTGAGCCACCCAGTCTGTGGCTCAGTTACGGCAGCCCCGGCAAACGAGCACACACGGGAAAAGCACAGAGTGAAAACAAACCCACACCAGCAAATACGGTCCATAATCCCACTGCCCCCAAATACTCACTTTAATGTTTTGGTATATATCCCTTCAATGGAAATCCATTTACTCTGGGTCCAGGTTAAAATTCAGGGTGAATACAAACAACATAAATGCAACTCTGTCACTGACATACCTGTTTTAGTCGAACGTTGGTTGTTACGATCTGATTCACTTCATCCTGAAAGAAGATAAGACCCTACCTTTAGGGGGTGGGGGGAACCAAGGGGAGGATGTTCCGGGGGGAGACTGTGGGTGCCGTGGGGGCTGGGAACACTCTCCTCTCACCACGTTGATGAGCTGTATCAGCTGCAGGCCCACGGTGACCTCCACGGCCTGGCGGTGGTCTTCCACTGGCCGCACCACGCTGTTGTAGTGTTCGAATAGCTTTGCCACCAGACGGGTCTCGTGTTCAGAGCCCAGGACGAGGCCAGCTAAGGCAGCAAATGACAGGCACACTGTCAGACTCTGCTCCCTGCCTGCACATGCGTTAACACAGGGAACTGAGGCACGGCCAGCTAATGGGAGGCTGGTGGGAGCCCTTGTGGAAGGGCTCCCAAATGCAGCTAGTGTTTCCTGGGAGCCTTTCCAAGCACAGCAGCTGGTGGGGTCCCTTCCCGGTGGGGCGTGCCAGATTATCATGACACTTCTGCTTTGGACAGAAGACATTCCTTAGTACAGCTTCTGGCTGAATCAAGCTTGCTAGGAACATGTACACACAAGAAGAAAGATCCCCCCAAACCCAGTCTCAGCATTTCAGAGTTTGGTCATGGTGTAATGACTGGTCAGACTGGCTGGTCTCAGATGCTAGGGACGGCCAAAGATCAGGGCCGTTCACCCATTAGCATGGCCATAGTGAACAAAGTTGGAAGTGACAAGTATTGGTGACACCGGAGAAACAAGAGCCCTGATATATCGCTGATGAGAATATAAAATGGTGCGGTCACTGTGGAGAACATTTGGTGGTCCCTCACACAAGTTAAACACAGAGTCAGCATAGAACCTACCAATTCCACTTCTGGGTGTATCCAAAAAGAACTGTTCACACAAAAACTTGTACCTGAATATTCATAGTGGTACTATATATGAGGGTTAAATGATGGAAACAACCCAAATGTCCATCAACAACAGGTAAGGGGATGAACAGGTTGTAGTATAACACCATTCAGTGGAATACTATTCAGCCAGAAAAAGAAGTGGGGTGTTGGTCCATACGACATGGATTCGCCTTGAAAACATTGTGCTATGTGAAAGAGACCAAACACAAAAGGGCACATATTATATAATTTCATTTATATGAAATGTCAAAAATGGGTTAGACAATAGAGAGCAGATTAGGGGTTACCATGGACCAAGGGACAGGGGAAGAGGCCGTGACAGCTAGTGGGCACAGGGCTTCCCTTTGGGACCATGAAGAGTTATGAAACTAGACAGTGGCAATGGCTGCATAAGATGTTAAATGTACTTAATGCCCCTAAACCATTCACTTTAAAATGATAATTTATGTACGTGTATTTTACCATGGTCAATTTCATATCACCTGTATTTTACCACAGTTTTTTGAAAAAAATCGCTGCTGGTGGGTCCACATCCCAGTTAAGTTATTAAGACAGAGCAGAACTGTGTGCTTTGCTCACCTGGGCTCGGGCTCCTATTTGGAGCACGAGTGACCCCAGGGAATCTTGACTGAATTTTCTCTCAGGGCTAAGAGCAATATCATCAATATTCTTGAGGTTCACGGCCCTTCTGTGGCCAGTGTTGTGTGGTCCTGCTCAGCCTCGGGTGAGCGGGGCGGGCAGGCTGGCATTTCCACCTGGGATTCGAGAGGCTGGACGGCCTGTGGGAGGCTGTGCGGCCCATGCTGAGCTGGGGTGAGAGCCCTGTCACTCGGCACTGTGCACTAGCTCCTGAGTGTGCTGCGGGCTGCCTCGGAATCTGCGCAACATTATCCGCATTAGAAACAGTGTTTCAAGATGTCCTGGAGGTTCCTCAGACTCTCCTCATTTCTTTGAATTCTTGCTTCTTGACTCTTTTCTGTTTGGCCATTATTTGCTTTCTTCTGGTCCACTCCTTTGATTTGAGTCCCAGTTTCCTTTTCATTGCTATTGGTTTCCTGTGCAATTCCATTCATTTCAATTAGTTTCTTCTTCATATGTTTCTCTAATTTGTGGCTATAATCAACCAGTTCTGTGAGGATCCTGATCACCAGTGTTTTAAACTGTGCGTCTGAGAGTTTTGTTATTTCTTCATCGCTTAGATTTATAGGCTCTGGGGCTTTGAGATCTTCTTGAGCCATTTTTGGTCTGTTTGTGCCCATTAAGTACGAGGATCGGCGCCTTGGACTCCCAGGTCGCTGGGTTGTGACGCTGTATGTGGGGGCGTGGTCCACTCCAACATCCGAATTATAGGGGTACCAGAAGGGGGAAAGGAACAGCCACCAATGTAAAACTTATTTGAACAAATAATAAACGAGAATTTCCCCAATCTGGCAAAGGAAATAGACTTCCAGGAAATCCAGGAAGCTCAGAGAGTCCCAAAGAAGTTGGACCCAAGAAGGAACACACCAAGGCACATCATAATTACATTAGCCAAAATTAAAATGAAGGAGAGAATCCTAGAAGCAGCAAGAGCTAAGGGGACAGTCACCTACAAAGGAGTTCCCATCAGACTGTCAGCTGATTTCTCAAAAGAGACCTTACAGGCAAGAAGGGGCTGGAAAGAGGTATTCCAAGTCATGAAATCCAAAGACCTACAACCAAGATTGCTCTATCCAGCAAAACTTTCATTTAGAATGGAAGGACAGATAAAGTGCTTCTCAGATAAGACCAAATTCAAGGAGTTCATCATCACCAAGCCCTTATTAAATGAAATGTTAAAGGGACTTATCTAAGAAAAAGAAGTTAAAGAAACGTGAACAGTGAAAGGACAACAAACTCACAGTTATTAACAACCACACCTAAAACAAAAGCAAACTAAGGGGACAGCTAGATCAGGAGCAGAACCATAGAAATGAAGATCACATGGAGGGTTAGCAACAGGGGAGTGGGGGGAGGAGAAGGGGGGAGAAGGTACAGAAAATAAGTAGCATAGACAGCAGATAGAAAATAGATGGGGGGACTTCCGCCAAGATGGAGGTGTAGGTGGAACCACCTTGCCTCTGTGCACAACCAAATCTAAGAACAACTATATTTAACAACAATAAACACAACCAAGCTACACAGAAAATTGACAATACGGAATCCAAAGACAACGAAATGCTCAGCTAAACTGGTAAGAGGAGGGAAGCCAGCAGCGGAGCAGGTTGGCAAGAAAAAAAATCCCCGAACGGGTGGTGCAGGAATGGGTGGTGCGCGAGCAGCCGAAGGGGCGGATCGCGGGCTAGCTACTGGAGTGCACAGGGAAGAGGCGCAGCGGGCAGTCTGCGGTCAGTTGCGCATCTGCGTGCGGAAAAACCAATGAGGAGGGAAGCCTGCGCGGGGCAGCAGGCTCGCACAATTCCAATCGGATAAACAGGCACGGGGCGAGTGGTGTGACTGGACGGACTGGGCTGGCAGAGAGGACCGCCATTGCTCCCTCTCTGACCACGCCCCCACACACAGCGTCACAAACCAGCGACGTGGGTCTCCCGGTCCTGGTAAACAACTAAGGCTTCGCTCCGCTTACTTAACGGCGCGAATAGACCAAAAATGGCTCTAGAACAACTCAGACCCCCAGAACCAATCAATCCAAGCAATGAAGAAATAGCCAATCTTTCAGATGCACAGTTCAAAACACTGGTTATCAGGATCCTTACAGAACTGGTTGATTTTAGTCACAAATTAGAGAAACATATGGAAGCTAAACTAATTGAAATGAATGGTAATACAAAGGAAACCAATAGTAATGGAAAGGAGATTGGGACTCAAATCAATGGAGTGGACCAGAAGGAGGAAAAAAATGATCAAACAGAAAAGAATGAAGAAACAAGAATTCAAAAAAATGAGGAGAAGCTTAGGAACCTCTAGGACATCTTTAAACATTCCAACATTCGAATTATAGGGGTACCAGAAGGGGGAAAGGAACAGCCACCAATGGAAAACTTATTTGAACAAATAATAAACGAGAATTTCCCCAATCTGGCAAAGGAAATAGACTTCCAGGAAATCCAGGAAGCTCAGAGAGTCCCAAAGAAGTTGGACCCAAGAAGGAACACACCAAGGCACATCATAATTACATTAGCCAAGATTAAAATGAAGGAGAGAATCCTAGAAGCAGCAAGAGCTAAGGGGACAGTCACCTACAAAGGAGTTCCCATCAGACTGTCAGCTGATTTCTCAAAAGAGAACTTACAGGCAAGAAGGGGCTGGAAAGAGGTATTCCAAGTCATGAAATCCAAAGACCTACAACCAAGACTGCTCTACCCAGCAAAGTTTTCATTTAGAATGGAAGGGCAGATAAAGTGCTTCTCAGATAAGATCAAATTCAAGGAGTTCATCATCACCAAGCCCTTATTATATGAAATGTTAAAGGGACTTACCTAAGAAAAAGAAGATAAAAAAGAAGAACAGTGAAAGGACAGCAAACTCACAGTTATTAACAACCACATCTAAAACAAAAGGACAGCTAGATCAGGAGCAGAACCATAGAAATGAAGATCACATGGAGGGTTAGCAACAGGGGAGTGGGAGAAGGAGAAGGGGGGGAGAAGGTACAGAAAATAAGTAGCATAGACAGTAGATAGAAAATAGATAGGGGGGAGGGCAAGAATAGTACGGGAAATACAGAATCTAAAGAATTTGAGATACGTGTTCATGAAGTAAAGGGGGGAAATGGTGGGGGAGGGGTATGCAGGGTGGAGGGGAATGGAGGGGGGAATAGAACAAATGTAATGGCATAATCAATAAAAAAGTTTAAAAAAAAAGAAACTAGATGGGGGGCAAGAATAGCATGGGAAATATAGAATCTAAAGGACTTGAGACACATGGTCATAAACTAAAGGGGGGTAATGGTGGGGATGGGGGGGTAGGGTGGGGGGGAATGAAGGGGGGAATAGAACAACTGTAACAGCATAATCAATAAAAAAATTAAAACAAAAATAAATAAATAAGAAAAAAAAAGAAACAGTGTTTCAGATTCCAGCCAGTGCCCTAGGAAGGATCTTTGTAACTCGAGCCTGGCGTGGATTAGGAATTGCCGGCTCAGGGCTGGGAGAGGAAGTGGACACAGGATCCGGTGGCCCTGATTCAAGCCACCAGATCTCCCCTTTCCGCAGATTATTGCTGAAATCCTCCAACCTCCTCCCTGGACCAAGCCAACCTGAAAAGTCAAATGAGGAGATGCTTTCTCTTTTTCCCCAGGGCTGTTAACAGACTATTTCTAAAATGGGTTATTATTTTTCTTTTTTCTTAAATTATTTTTTATTGATTTTGTTATTACAGTTGTCCCAATTTCCCCCCCGTTGTCCCCTCCATCCAGCACCCCCTGCTCCTTAGGCCATCCCCACACCAGTGTTCATGTCCATGGGCCATGTGTTCTTTGGCTGCTCCATTTCCTACACTGTCCTTCACATCCCCAGGGCTGCGCTGTACCTACCTACCTGTATTTCTTAATCCCCCCCACCTCTACACTCACTGCCCTACATACTTCTCCCATCTGGCAGTGACCAAATGATCCCCGTATCTGTGATTCTGTCTTTGTTCTTCTTCGTTTGTGTAGTTTATTTTTTAGATTCAGTTGTTGATAGATATGTATTTATTGCCATTTTATTGTTCATAGTTTTGATCTTTTTTTCTGAGGTATCATTTGTATCCATGCAGCTTAAGTTTGGAAGAGTTTGTCAATAAAATAATGATAAAGAGAAATTACTCTTCCTAGTTTTATTAATAAAAATAACTGGCACATCCACCTTACATGCCGTCCTTCAGCATGTGTTATATATACTAACTCTTTCCAGCCCCACGACGGGGTGTGGTAGGTGTTACTCGGGTCCTCACTTTACAGGTGAGGAAGGTGAGGCGCAGAGAGGTTAAGGGGCTTGCCCAGGTTTCATAAGTGGTGGGGCCAGGGTTCAAACCCCAAACCCAGGCTCTCTGCCGCTATTTCTCATCCAGAACTTTGGATCAGCTTGAAACAACCAACGTTGTGCCATAAATTGAAAACATTTTTATCCCCCCCAAAGTGTGCTTTAAGTAACCTGTAGAGCTTTATGAAAGGCCCTGTATTTGTTTTAACTCATTACGTGCTTATAACAGCCCTATGAGGTCTTTATCCCTGTATTACAAATGAGAAGGTTGTGGTTTGGACAGCTGAGGGATGTTTTCATGGTTCCCCACCAGTTAGAGGCGGGGCTGTGAAGGGGGCAGCCTGCCACCTGGGCCCGTGCTCTTTGCTGCCTCCCTGAAGGCACACGTATCATTTCCATTCGGGTCTCTGAAGCCTCCGTGCAGCTTCAGGCTGTTCGTTATGATCCCCTGGAGTCTCTGTCGGGGGCCCCTGACCTAGCCTGCCTCTCCCTTTCTAGCTTCCCAACTTTCCTGAACCCAAAATGGTCCGTGCAGAGCTTTCACATGGCATCTCCCCAAACCACCTGCATTTCAGGACTCTTCAGAAGAGCACGCTGTCCAAAGGCCCAGTGTTTGCAGTCCCCCCGCTGAGCCCTTGGGACACGGCAGTCCTCTGTCCCCATGCCTGTCTATCCTGGGCCCCGCTCAGCCCACAGGGTAGGGGACTGGCATGGGTCCCTGAGTGTCTTGGCTGCTGAATTTGAAGCTGTTGCTTTGGCATTGCCTTGGGCTGCTTATTTTCAAGTGATGGTTTATTCCAGTTTGACAGGAAGAACATACTGGAAAGCAACAGATAGGGCAGATGGTGAGCATTATATAGCAGGAAAACTATGCAGGCCAACCCAAGGGCCCACTGGGGAGAGGGCAGAGCCAGGAGACGAGAGGGCGTGGTCAGCATGCCAGCGACGCGCATTTCCTCCTCGCCCACCCTGGCTGATAACCAGGGGCCTGGCTGCTTCCTCAATGGATTTCTCAGGAATTTCCCCAAAGGTCTCCATTTCTTAGATTGGGTTCATTAGTTTTCTGTCCTCTTTTTCCCTTTCCGAAACAGGGTGGAGTGATAGAAAACTTACAGGACTTGAGGTCAGAATCATACAGTTCTATTTCTAAATCCACCATGAGCTGGAGAATTGGACCAATTCCCCATGGACTCAATGCATCGCAGTAAGTACTTTCTTTAAAATGCAGAGTGTAAATTAATAACCATGCAGACGAATAAATAATGTCCGAGGCTCCCTGTTCAGCAAAATCATCCTTGTTCAGATGGTGTAACCTTAACATGTTCGTCAGATACTTGTGCATTCGCTGTGTGCAAAGCATGGTTTTAAGAGCTTTGAGATGTTCGAAGGTGAATCTGACATAAATCCTGTCTTCCTACCCTCATGAAGACCGACATTTGTCACTTACATAAATAGCTGTGAGCGAGTTGGAAAGTAATATGCTGTAAGAGAGGTGGCAATAAAGTACTTGGGATTCTTGAGATGGAAGAGAGGAAAGGCTGTAGTAAAAATGCTGTATAAATAGAGGAGAGATCATTACGTGTTAAGTTAACAAGGAAAATGCATCCCTGATATGAATGAGAATTTTGCCCACAAAAGATTGATTCTGAATAGGGGAACCCAACCAAGATGTTAAAGTTGTTGTGTGTTTTTGTTTTTGTACCATACTGTTCTGATCTGTATTTTTAATGCCCACTGGGTTGGGCAAAAGGAATTCTGCACTATTACTACTGATCTTGGGTGAGGCTGACCTCACCCTGCTGCTATGTGACTTTGCCACCTTTTGCACTTTCAGGCTGTTTTCTGACTGTGCATACAACAAATGGAGTCTCCAAAAGACTGCAATCCAAGACGTGTAAATTCAGTGACTTTGGGCAGGTCAGTTCCTGTCTTCCTGCCTCAGCTTCCCTATGACCCAAAACTGAACATGTTGGAATGCCTCACCCAGCTCCAAATTCACCTGTGGGAACTGATACCAGCAAATCCTAGGGTTGGTCTAAATATATATGATATACTTTTTAAGGTAGCTAATGGTGCATTATTGGAGGTTTGTGGTGTCCTAAGAGGTCTTCCAAGGATTTTTATGCATAAGCACATCACTTAAGAATTTTCCCTGAGTGTAGTGTCTGCACACACACACACACACACACACACTCCCCATCACCAGCACTGCCAGGCCAGATCTGGTTGGATCAAGTCCAAATCTCATAGGGCATAATTTATCTGAATGGATTAGAGTTTAGGCTGTTTCCCTCAACTCTGCTGTGGAAAAACAATGATAGCGCTCTTTCCCTCCTCTCCCCAGAAGGCCCGTGTCTGTCAGAGCAACGTTAGAGAAGTCACAGAACGCCAACTGCCTCGTTTGCCGGCTGGGATGATATCACCGGTAAACTCCCCGATATGAAGCAATCAGCACACATGTCCTGTTTTCCTTGCCCGGAAGTGTGGGATTTGGGAGAGCGTTTCAGCTGCTGTGTGGGACACATTCCAGAGTCAACCACGGGTCAAGGGCTTGCAAGGCTTTATGGTTTCAGTTCAAACCCTAACCTTCTTAAGGTAATGTACTCTCTCAAAGAAAAAAAAAGTAAGCAAAAATGCATTCATATGAACTTCTTTTAACTTCAGAAGTTTAAAAAGTTACAAAATATTTCGTCTCCTGGAGAGAATTTAATTACAAGTATGAATAGGTTTCTCTCTCCCGCACATGGAGCTGTCAGTCATTCCTCTCTATTGTCAGAACTCTCCGGCAGAGGTAAAGGGGGTGTTAGCCCCGTTGTCTGCGCGGTGAGCGGGCCCCCGCTGAGCCCCTGTGGTCGTTCCAATCGGAAGGCCGCTCTGCTCTGGGAGGGCGGCGGTGGTGCCGAACTGGTGGTGCCGAATTCGATGGCACAGGCGCGCCAGGCGCTGATGGAGGGAGAGACTATTTTATTTGAATAACACAACCGTGAAATCTCTATCCACAAACCCGATCAAGCTAATATTGGTGAGAAACTGACGGCAGTCTCGGGCTGCCGACTCCCACCAAAGAAGTAAGACTGTGGTTTGTGGACGCCTGGCGGCGCTTCAGACTCAAGCAGAGCCCCCGACACCGGCACTTACCTGAGCAGAGGCCCAGGAGCAGGAGGAGCGGCCGGGGCTCCATGGGCGGAGGGCGCTGCTGCGGGCTGGCGGCGGAGCGGCGGCCTGCGCTGCCGGCCGGTGCTCTGGCTGGACACTCGGCTGCGGGCGGGTTTGGACAGTGTGTCGGCTCGGGGGAGCTATTGTCTTACACCACCTGTTGGTGGCCGTGACAGCTGGGCTGCCCGGAGCCCTGGAGGCCAGGGAGGCGCCCAGGCCTCACACTGTTAGAGAGCCTCTCCTTGCACAACTGCCACACCCTGGACAAGTTGAGTGTGAACTGCACTGTGTTTCATAGGCGCCACGAGTCAGATTTTAATTAAAAAAAAAAAACTGACAGTAGGGAAGGACTTACGTTGAATGATGAGCAACCCTCTCCCTTTTGTGAAAACCAGAACCTCACCGCTGTGGGTTGATTCGATGAGGGTCACTTGGGCCGGGTGGAGTCCACTCTGTGTGTCAGACGCCGCTCTGCCCAAGTCACACAAGCTCGCACTGCACACACGCGGAATTCGTCTGCTCGGGGTCACCCGAGGCTGAACGTACCTGGGGCTCTGGTGGCAAAATGAACTGGAGAAGAGTGTGGCTGGTCCTGAACCTGCTGCTGCAGAGCCCCAGGGTCGGTGGCGTTTGGTTTTCAACGAAGAAGGCTTTTCCCCTAAGATTGCTTTTACTGGCTTGTTCCACCAACAAGAACAGCAGTGGCTGTTCCACCCCCTCTCAGTAGCTGGCAATGCCCGCCCAGCAGCGGGCCATTAGCGGGAGCAAACCGCCCACCGCCCACAACTGTTACTGGAGCGAACAGTAATCAACCGCGAGGCGTCCCGCCGTGGCCGCAGCCCCACAGTCCCGGTCCCCTCCACCGGTCCGACCTCCGCCTGCTCTCACTGGGGAAGCAAAGAGCAGAGTGGCTCAACCTTTCAATTCCTTTGTTTGAAAAAAAAATCCTAAAAGCCAGCAGTTAGTAATTGCTCAGTCCGAGAGGTGGTTTTGTTTGTTTGTTTTTACCACGACAGGGAGGAAGCTGTTAGGTAACAGTACCCGGCTCTCGTTCCTTCCCAGTTGAATCAGGTGAGGAAGGCCCTCACCTCAAGTCCAAGGGCAGCATTCGGACCAACTCCCCATTTTCGTGAGTCCAAATAATTAGAGAAAAGAGTTGGAGGCTGGAGGAGAGAGCTGAGAGTTTACATTTACGGTTTTTTTTTCTGTTTAAAATTATGGGAGATCAGCTAATTGTCCAGTAAAATATTGGTCCTCTCCCTTCAACACAACACTGCGCTGTGGCTGCCTAGGAGTTAAACTCCCCCCCCCCCAATATACCCTGCTGCTTGCATCTAGATGAACTCGTGTGCCTGAGCGCTAGAAAATGAAATGTGAGAAGAAATTTTATGAGACTTGAAAGGACAGAGCCAGCGCCATTTGCTGTCGTGGCGCCATGTGCCAAGCGGGCCTGTGACCTTGTTAAACACGACTGAGAGGAGCAAACTCCTCTCGGCTTGTCCCCAGGCCTGGAAAGTGCTGGAAAGCAAGAACAGAACGTGACTAAGTGCTCCCTACAGCCAGAGGCAGCAGATTAACACTGGAACGAACTGCAGCCTCATGTTACAATGCCCCCAACAGCCCAGGGGCCTCACAACAGCACCCCCCATTTTTAACCCAATTAGAATTCAATAAAAGCTCAAAGCCCCCACCCCATGATGATCTCTCTACACCATGCCCCACTCCTTTGCTGGAGAGTGAGTTAAAACTTTACTCTGCACTTTCTTCTCTTGGTGAATTTTTTCACAGCTCACCTCGCTGGCTGCCCTAACAAGACTCACAAACCTCCTACCACAGCTATGCATGTCTCGTCATCCTCGGATGCCGGGAATGGACATGACCCCTAGGGCAACCTTGGAAACCACGTGTCAAAGGGGCTTTGCTTTTGACATCCTGGATCTTGAATGACTTCATGGAAGAGAATACCCATTACACCCATTGTCCTGGTCACCACCCAGCTCTCTTTCGTGAATGAGAACAAAGCTTTCATTGTGTTAAGCCATTGGCATTCTTGGGTTTATTTGTTCAGAAGCTAATATTACTGTTACTAATATGAAATTCACTCCCTTGCATTGGGGTCCCGTGGTTAAGAATAACCCTAAAATATGTAACACTGCAGAGGAAGGCAAGAAAACTGGTATTGGAGGCTGAAAGGGTAATGACTCATGCTATGCAATACAGGATTATTTAATAAAGTTGCTCCTTAATTACTTAGTGAGCAAAGTGTTACTGAGCCTGTGGCTGTCAGGAGAAGAGGGTGGAAAACCCAAAATTAGTGCATATGGCTTCTGATTGGCTTTGCCTCGTGAGTCAGTACAAGGGAGGGTGAAACTCAGGGATGAATTGGCTGGTTCAAGAGCAGAAATGAAAGGCAGTAGGAGTCCAGAAACCTGGAGCTTTCTGTTTTGAACCCCGAAGAGCACGTGATAACTGAGAGAAAAGGCTTTGGGCAGCAAAAGCCCGTTAAGGATGCTCCCTGAGCAGCCGGTTCCCCCACTGCGGCAAAGGGTGCTTTCTCCACACTCAAGCCTGTTTTCTCCAGATGGCTTCGAGATGATCGCCACTGAGTTGAAGGAGAGGAGTAGAGGTTCCAATGCAAGAAGTTAATGGAGCTCTCGAATGAAGGCCAGGAAAGAGCCCTATGTGTGCACATTGGCGCATGGAAATGACTGCAAACAAGTATTTCAGGAGCTTGCTAAGTGTTTGAAGGATTTGTATTGCCAAAGGGTTCACAAACCCAGATTACGCAAGCTGGGGATGCTCAAGCCTTAAAACAGTTCTTGGGAATCCCACTCGCGCATTGGCAGAAATCAGGTCACAACATCTGCACAGGCTCCCAAGAGGGCACGCTCCCCACTGTCACTTCAGGTGTGGCCTTGGAGGTAAATGGGTGAGAGAGAACTTCCCAGGGCCAGAGCCAGGAGCCACGAGGGCCACAAGGGAGATCCTCCCAGAGAGCAAAGTCAAGGTCTAACGGAGGAGTCGCTGCAGACCCTCTCCGGAACACGTATCCCCCAGTGGCTCTGGACTCTGCTTGCCAGGCTTTGCTTACTGCCCACACCTGCCCACACCCGCAGCCCTCCACCTGAGGGGGTGATTTGCTTTCTGGCTACAGGAACAAACGGGCCAAACTGCTAGTGCAAGAGAGATAGTGTCCCCAGAAACGGCCCCCAAGCCCTGCAAAGGGAACCATGCCCCAGCCTCCTCACCCCCATAATGGGGTAACTGAGGCACACTCTGTGTTGAATGTTGTGGGGCTGAGTCCCTGTTACATGTGGTGGAAATGGCTGGACAACCCTCCCTTTGCTGGCGTCCTTCTCTGCTCCCCCCACTCCCCACCCATCGCTCCCCGCTGCCCACCACCTCTCAGATAAACTCCGTACAGGGGCTGCTTCTGGGGAAACGCTAATCAAGACAGAATTCTTCCCACGGTCTGGGCAGGGGTCTTCCCATTGGTGTAAGTGGGTGTCTTTTCCACATTTCTAGAAACTTCCCAGTTCTCTTCTGGAGGTGAAAAGTAGACCAAGAAATATATCAAAACTTTCTCAGAAAGTAAACCTATTTTTTTCCATTGAAAAGTTTATTATTCAAGTAATTTAAATTTACTGTAGAAAAATTGGAAAACAGTTAAAAAAATGTTCGCCCACTGTCCTTCTACCTAGAAATATCCATGGTTAACAGGTTACTTCACATCCATTTCCATGGATATAGAATAGACCTTTCCATGTGTGTGTATGTATATGTATATGTATATGTATATGTATATGTATATGTATACACACATATGTATTTCACTACCCCAAATCTCTACTTCATGTTACTTAAAAATCAGAAGATTTCCTTTAAGTTTTAGGCTCTTGTGGCTTAACCACTGCCAGGGAAATGCTATTTTCAGGAGATTAGTCTTTTTCCAGCTTTATTAAGTTATAAGTGATCAATAAAATTGTAAGTTATTTAAAGTAAGAGTGTGATGCTTTGGAATACATTGTGGACGGATCCTCCCCGTGTTCACTTACTAAACTGGTTTTACTGAGCATCACTATGTGCCAAGTGCAGCTCTAAGCATTTGGGATACAGTAAACAGAACAACAAAGATTTCTGTTCCTCGGGAACAATGCGTTCTAGTTGGAGAAAATAAAAGGACAAATATGAACATAGTTAATAAGGAAAATTGTTAAGTATCTTATTGGGCGAAACACGCTATGGAAAAGGGAAAGTAGGGTGAGCCGGTCCAGGACAGCTGGAGAGGGGTTGGCTTTGCTGAGAATGAGGCACCTGACAAAGCCCTGAAGGAGGTGCAGATATCTGTGGGTGAGCATTCCAGGCAGAGGGAAGAGCCCTAAACTCCCCAAGGGAATGGGCCTCGGGTGCTCAAGATGCAGCACAGAAGCCAGCCAGGCTGGCACAGAGCGAGGGACGGGGAGGCGGCCAGGACACGGGGTCACAGAGCAGCCAGGGCAGGGGGGGGCACAGCACACCCTGTAGACATTCACTCTGGGTGAGATGGGGAACCTCTGCAGGGTTCTGAGCAGAGAAGTTGTAACGATCTGACATATGTTGTAAAAGGACAACTCTGACTCCTGTGGTGACAAGTGGCTGCCGGGGAAACAAGTTAGGCGCCACTGCAGCCGGCCAGGCGGCAGACAGTGGTGGACTGGGCCAGAGTGGTGGCCATGAGGGCAGTGAGAGGCAGGGGGATCTGGGAATGTATCCTGGTCCTAGGGCTAACCGGGTTTCCTCAAGGGTTGGATCTGGCTGTGAGAAAGAAAGGATGATGAGTAAAGATGATTCGCAGGGTTTTAGCTCCAGCATCAGGAAGGATTTAGGTGCCAACAAGTGAATTAAGAAAGGCTGTGAGCAAAGCAGGTTTTATGGAGGAGCAGGGCAGGCAAGCATGAGTTCTTTTAGGGACGTGATGAGTTTGAGATGTCCATCCCAAACGGGGAGGCAGTTGCATTTATGACTCAAGAGTTTAAGGGAAAGATGTAGGCTAGGGTAGATGAGTGCTAGGGTAGGGTGCTGAGAGCTGTGGCTGGATAAGGTCAGAGGAATGAGTTTGGAAGAGAAAAGAACTAAGGTTAAAAAACTGGGAAGAAGAGGAGGTTGCAGCCAAGACTGAGGAGGAAGTAAGCGGCAGGAGGAGAGCTGGGAGAGGGTGGACCCTGGAAGCCAGCTGAAGAAGAGAGAGTGGGGGTGTCCACTGTGTTCAAGCTCCTGATGGAGCCACAAGAGGAGGATGAAGATGACTTCGGTCTCAGCAACATGAAGGCCACAGTGACCTTGGCATGCACAAAACCTCACTGGAGGAATCAGAGGGGCTCTGCTGCAAAGGGCGACAAAGAAGTGAGGTGACAGTGGGTGGGGGATGTAGGGTCAATAGAAGTTAATTGAAGTTTCTGTTTTCTGCCCTTTTTTGGGATGGGAAAAATAACATTATATTAGCATATGATTAAAATGATCCAACAGTAACAACAAAGACTGATTGCATACCAGAGAGCTGCAGGAAAACACACATAAATGTTTTCATAAATGGGATTTACTGTAATACTTTTCTATGACCTGCAAAATATATAATAAATATGCCTCTAGTCAAATGATGTGCCTCTACATTTTCATTTTTAGTGGCTGCAAAATATTCTATTTTTGAGTGTATCGTGATTTGTTTAACCAACGCTTTAGTATTGGACGTTTGAGTGTCAGAGTTTTTTTCCTTTATAAACGATCGTGCAGTAGACATCCTCATACATATAAATCAGCCCAGTTTTCTGATCGTTCCCTTCCAATAAACTCCTAACAGTGGAAATGCTGGACCACACAATGAAAACAT